CCCTTGCTGCAGACTACATATGAAGGCATTTATTTTGGGGAATGAAACGCATGTACGGCAACAAAAGTATTCAGAAGACGCTAAAACATTTTTGTGTGTGACCTGAATCTTCAAAAAGGAAGAGTGAAGTAATACACAAACTCTCTTAGCATGTGTGCAGGAGCTGGGATCTGGAGGACAGAACATGCTCTGGGAAAATATATACTCTCTCCTTGCTCGTTTAACAGAGATTGCAGGGCAAAAGGAGACTACACCAGCAGTAATACCTCCCTACTACTCCTCCTAGTTCTACAAAAATAAGAGTAGGTCAAGTATTTCAGAGCTATAATGGAGTTCCTCTCCTCCTTCACTTCAAAACCTCATAAACAAAGAAGTCTTCAAGGACCTGCCCTACTAGGCTTGTCTGCTTCATAAACTTCTGCCAGAAAAACTACACCAGCTGGAGGTGGCAGCCAGGAACTAGACACCATACAGCCAATTCAGCCCTGCTGGAAACAAAATTCTGATGCAGACAATTTGCGCCAACAGGAGAAGCATTTGGGTTGGCTTTACTCACACCACAGATTCAAATGATGAATTTTTGCTGCCAGAAAGATTACTTCTGCTTTTCCAAGAGAGGGTTTTATTGGCCAAGTTGCAGTAACTTTTAGGTTAAAGTGGTTTTAAGAGCTCTGATACACACATTTTTCAAATTGCTTTGAAAACCTGTTACAAAAAACAACAACAAAAAGTTCACTGTCTGTATTCTGATATGTCTCGAAGTTTTCTAAAATAAGGTGTCCAAAGAATAAAATTTTTTCAAATACGTCAAGTAAAAACTGTCCCAAAGCTCTCTCTCTTTTTATGCACACATATACAAAGCAAATAACCCCTCAATCTCTCAACCTCTACTTCAGTTCATTTTTGTAACACATATACAAGTGCCTTGTCTTGACAGGACATGAAAAGAGGGCTAGAGGAACATGACAATCCTAAGGAAAACTATTTTTGCACAAGGAACAGCAACTGAAGGTGGAAGGAAAAGAATATAATAGTACTCTGTCTCTTTAATCACTGCAACCATCAACAATAAAACTGTTTAAAAAGAAAAGGATGTTATTGATTGTATTTGATTGATCAATGTAATTGACCTCAAATATCCACAGTTTTCAATTGCAAAATATAGCATAATCCCCATTTCATGTCACCAAACACACTGACAAGAGTGGGAGAGACAAGGGGAAAAAAAAAAGTAAAGGAAAGCAGCAGGCTTCAGCTTGCCAAAACACTTCCAAATGTAAAATTCTATAAAAACTAGAAGTTCTACAAATATTATTTTGCCTTTTATTCAAAGCCCTGGGAAATCAAAAGCAATAAAAAACGAGGTGCAATATTAGGTTGTTCAGCTCTTCGGACCAAAGCCACTATCAAACACTGAAAACCAAGGAAAGCAGCTCTTGGACAACGTCTTTTATTTGTACCTCCTCTCAGACCTCATGTAGTTAGAAGAAGCTGTAAGACTGTCTCCAGAATGACCCTGACTGAGCAGGGAGGTTGGACCAGACGGATCCTGTAGTCCCTTCCAAACTGACCCATTCGGTGATTCTGTGAATAAACTGCCACTCCAAAATTAGGTTTTGCATCAACTTCTGGATACTCCCTCCTCCCTTCCTCTCAGTACCATATCTCCCAATAGTACTATGCACACACACACACTTCCAGAAATTTTCTGAAGGTGAAAAATCCTGACAACATGCTCACAAAAAGTCCCTAAGCAATATCAGTAATATATATATATAATATATGTTAAAATTACATTAATAGTGAAAAATGAAGCTATTCAAACTGCCTGTGTTAATGTAATTCGGCCCCTTGTGTGAGCACAGCACAGCCCATGATCACTTTGCCCATGGGACACCTGCAGAAGACTGTGCCTTCCTCAGTAATGGAAAGCTGACAGGAAATAAAAGGGCTCCTGCACAGACTCAGCAGCTTTGGCTGCAGAACTGGCACGTTCACAGCCTCGACTTACACAGGCCAGGACTGGTCACACATGTTCACTCCAGAAAGGCCAACACTTTACTTGGTTCCAGATAAAGAAAGCAGCCAAGAAGTGACTCGGTGCCAGAGCACTTCTAATGGAAGCACAAGAAGCCCTCACAGACATAATTACCCACAGACATAGTCTGCTCATAGACACAGACATCCTTAACCCAAGCAATTCTTTGACTTCTAGGTGCCCCTTTTCATCAGTGCTAGAGCATTAATGAGGAACTTTCTGCACCCACGGATGTATGGAGTATAAAACAGGAGATATAGAGAAAGCAGTAGTAAAAGATTCAAAGTGAATTTTCATGCAGAAATGAAAGGATATGATTTCTGGCACATCTCTGCATTCTTGTATACAATTTCTTTTTTTTTTTTTTTTCCCCTCCCATTTCACCATGTGAAAATTCCATAATTTGGCATCATACCCAGATCCAGATCAGTCACCAACAGCGATTAAATCTTTTAACCATCCACACTGTTATTTTGTGAAAAACAGTTGGATGTCATTTTTTGTGGACTAGGCCTTAGAAGGAAACAAGACACTTGGCCTGTGGCTTTCACAGATTTTTGTTGATAGCTGAAGAATGGCAAGATTTAAGGATCTTGGACTTCATTTCACACATAAAAGGGAACTACATTCTAGGACAAAGTTTCTCAATATGTGGTCTGTAAAACATCAGATGGTGGTCCAAAAAATCATCATAAAAATGTATTTTTAAAAACATACATTCCCATACATGCAAGCAAGAAAACATAATTGAGGAAATACAAAAAAAACCCAAAACAAACATTCCAGGACTAGCCTAACTGAATAGCACTATAATGCCTATGAAAATGTGACATTTCACCAGATGACCCTTACATTTTTTTAAGGACATTAAGTGTTCCTGAAACAACACATTCTCCTTTAACATTTAAGTTTGAAGGCACTTTTTTCTGTTCCACTGAATTTTCTTAGTAAGTCCCCTCCAGCGAATGCCTTCTTACATCCAGTGTTTTTTCCTTCATCCTATTTCCCTAAGCTGTTACCTGTTTTTTCCACTTCTCACTACACTTTCTCTGTTTTCATTCTCTGTGGAGACACTCCTTAAAGTCATCTACTGAAGCTATCCATCCACCCACTGAGCTCGTTCTGCCTATTTTTATTGACAAACCCTGACTCAGGTATTCTGGTTCACCCTGAATTTCACTTACCGCTGTTGGAACATCCTTTATTTCATCGGTTCAGCTGCCGGAATCTCACTTTTCAGGACCCTTGTTTTACCCATCACCTTTTCAAAATTATAGACACTTAGTCCACACCCTATGCCTACTCCCTGGATTAAGATCCAGACACAGCTATCCAGCCCTTGTTTTTCACGATCTTCTTTTCAGGGCCAATTTTCCTTCCTGATGTCCAACAAAAACATCCTTGATCTTGCCTACTGTCAGCTCTCTATACATATTCTGAGTTGCTTTTTTGAGGCCAAACAAGCAACAATGACTATGTTAAATCTTGATACCAAAACAGCTCTGAAGAGTCAGCCAACAAAGAATACCGGAGAAGTACCTGGAGCTCATAAATACAATATATGGATAGCACACCTGGGATACTCTCCCTCAAAACCAGTATTACTGCTCTCCCATTTCCCATATAACACCATCACAAAATTCAAGGATGCTAAATAAAAAACGGTTTAAAAAACCCAACAGTTGATAACAAATGTCAGCTAGCAGCCACCTTTTTATTTGAAGTACACAGCACCTAACTTGAAACCCCATCTGCATGTGTTGCTCTGATGCTACACTCTTAAACAGTTCAAAAACTACAGTTTTAAAACCTTTTTTCCTGGCATTACTAGTAACTGATTTTTCAAACTTGGTTGTTTGAAACAAGATACAACCTTTAAATATACTAATTCATACATACACATTTAATACATTTATTTATATGTATTGCTGAATACTTAATTGATTATTCTGTTTTTTTCAAGACAGTTCTTTTCACAAGTCTTGTAAGTGACTAACAGTATCTGCCTGAAAACAGACTTATTAAAAGCAACAAAAAATGTTAAACTCAACTAAAAGGGCTTAGGTGTGTTACATATGTAAAAAATTGAAGAAACTGTTTTGTATTTAAAACTGGAATAATTACGCTATGTGGTGCTATCAAGCACAATGACTAGGTAAATGACAGAAAAGAAAAATTTCAGAACTGATCTTTTTTTGACAGTTCAGTCTTATTCGTATATTTGAAAGAACAAACTGACTGACTTCTGTTTTCAGTTTTAAATGGATTTAAATTAAATTTGAATAAAGTAACAATCAGTTGAAACATTCAAAAATAGGAAGACTATTCACTTGATATCCACAGAAGACACCGTTGCATGAATTGATCTCGACATGTCAACAAATTCTGTTTCCCAGAGTCTGGTAGTTGAGAGCTTTTGTTTTCCTGAGCACTTTGGCAAGACACATGTGCTGTTGGATATGTGGGCTGGGGTGCGTGCTTTTTGTTGCTTTTTGTTTTGATTTGTTTTTAATTTGAGAATACATTCAGTCTGCAGTAACATGCACATTCATTGCGAAATTTTAAGTTTACGTATGTTTCTTTAATTAAAAATTCATTTTAATGTGTTTAAAATACAGGTTTAATACAGCTTTCTACAAAGCCTCTTCATACAACCTCTAGTGTTATTTGGACTTATTCTGACGTACATGCAAGATTTTCTAGGAGTTCAATTAGATGACTTTTCACCACCATGAGTAAACTATTATAAATTTTGAAATACTTTATGACACAGAAAGAATAAAACCAATATTTGGTTCTTGTCAGCAATTGAGGAAAATCGTACAAAAATGTTTTGTTTGCTACTGAGATGAATATATGAAAAAGACATGTTTCCTTGGAATCTGGGCCTTTTTTTTTTTTTTTTTTTTGTGCAATTAATGATACAGACTTCCAGCTTCTCAGGAAAATTAAGTTTGCATACCAGCACAGAATATCCCTGGGACTTCACTCCGGAATATAACAGTTCGTACTTTCTTATCAGATTTCAAAGCATCCACAGCTTTTGACATCTACAGAGAAAAGGAGGAAGGGGAATAACCAAACACTTTTTAAAGTGCTTCATTCCAATATTTCACCTTTATACTAAAAGCTATTCTTTTCACTTACCATTTTTACAAGATTTTTGCTAAGTGCATTCTTGGCATGAGATCTGTTTAATCCAAGCACCACAATTCCTGGAGGGGAAGAAAAATTGCATTATTGTTACAACGTAGTAAAAAATGTATCATCTATGTAAAATACCATTATTATTTTGGATTACACAAAAGGAATCAAGGGCTACAAAAAAAAGTTTCTGAAAAGTCTCTGAAAGAAAACAAACTTTTCCAATATTCAACAGAAATTTCACATTTTAAGAACAAAAATATGGCACTTACACCTTCACATGGAAAACGTGCTTACAAAGGTTGAATGAAGAATTACACAACTGCATACACAAATTTCATGTTTGAGTGTGAAGTGCTGACATGCAACCAGGGAAGATCCTTAATTGTAAAGCATATGTTTCCATATTTAGATAGCCTGTCTTCAGAGACTTCTTAAAGCTTGAAGTGTAACCACAGCTAAGACTAGGAACTCTCAGAGAGGTAAAAGGAAGTCACAAACATACAAAGAATACCAACAATGGGAAACTTGTACTTTTGCTTAAAAAGGAACAAAATCATACAAAAGTTCTCCCCCAAGACACAAAAAACAAGCTCAGTCCTTGGTACACAGCTCCAAAGACACATTCACAGTTCCCCTTGTCCAGGTAAATCAGTTGTCTCACCAACTGATCACACTGGTTTGAACAGCTGCAGCAGAAGCTCCATTTGTTCGTCCTTATTCATCCCCCCCTCAGCTTAACAGGCACGATTATCAAACAGGGAAATCCTGAAAGGTTTATTCTGCTAATGTCTAAGTTTACTATGCCTATAGGAATCTCTTAAGACAGTTAGTGCCTGAACCCAACACAACTGCCTGAATTAGAAACACCAGCACACTGGTCCAGCCCTGGTAAGGTTTTATCAGGACCTTTTAAGCAGAGAATGCAGGAATGAGAAGAGAGAAAGGACTAGGACAGGGACAGCAAATGAAAGGCAAAAAGGGAGCTCTGCCTTAAGCAAAAATGCCCACAGTACTGCCATCAACTTACAAGACAAAAAAAGAAATTCCAGAAACTCACTATTTGCTCAGGTGATTACTACTTCACCACTCAGGTTTGAATGCCTAACCTATATAAAATCTGCCTCTCGCACCCTCCACAGGGTGCCTTCCTTGTCACCTCGGTGCATACTACTTCTTTTATTTCACTAAATCCTTTCCTCCCAAAGGACTGACCATCATTGCTTGAGTCCCCTTCCTCTGCTTCCTCCCGCATCTATGTGCACAAGCATGCACACGAGACAAGACTAAAGAGCTGCTCTTTCTGCAGCTACCAGTTGAAAACAAAGCCCTCCATCCGCCAGCTGCCGCTCTCAAGGTTCCAATAAAAGTGGTGTCAAATACAAGTAACAAAGCACATGTGCCTCTTTCTTGCTCCCAAGGCACTGTCAGTTGCTAGGTATGGATACCTCCAAAAAGGAGAGAGGAGCCGGGCTAACCCAAATGACCTTCACTCCCTTGTTCTACAAACCTAAATTCCATGTGTTTATCCCCATGGGTGGAGGTACCCACACAGCACCATCGGCAAGGGTGGTTATTCAGCACTTACACAGGAATCTGTTTATGTTCTGTTAAGCAAAAAGGAGTGGTGCTGTAGCACTTCTCTGCTGTCACAGCTTCTTCAGGAGGATCACTCCAAATTCAAACACCGTACATGTTCAATGCAAGTAGTCAAACAAATGCAACACCACACTTTAAAGCAACAAAAGACCCCTTGACCTCAATTTGATTTTACACTTTCAGGCACATTACAAATGCTGTGTTTGAAAAAACTAGAGATGTTATTATCCCAAACCATAATCCAGTTAGGAAATATAGCTCTTTTCAGAAGCACATTAATCTTAACAGCAATGACACTTAACAACACTCGAATTTTTCTTCTCCCCATTAGAGCCCAAAGACTGTCGCTCCAACAACAACAATAATCTATTCACAAGTAAGTTTCCAATTAACATTAAAGCACATTCAATATTTTTTCCTACAAAGGGATGATCCTTGAAGACAAATCTTACAAGTTCCTCTTAGCAGGGTTTTATCAAGTCATAAAACTACCACTTCTGCTTCCTTCTCCAGAAGAGAAAAAGATGGTACCCACTCACCTATTCTATTTCTTAAGTAGGGAAAAAAAAAAAAAAAAAAAAATGAAGCAAGAACTGCAACAGGAAAAGCATAAGAGGTTTGCAAGAGAAACCTACATATTGCATTGATGTGCACAAAATGTGCATTTCAATCCTTGAATGTACATTTCAATCAGTTTTGTTCTGATATGCCATTACCACAAGACCTGAGGATGGAAGGGACCCTAAAGATCATCCAGCTCCAAGCCCTACGCAAATATCAGGGACCCTTTGCACTAGACCATGTTGCTCAAAGCCCCATCCAACTTGGCCTTGAACACTTCCAGGGACAGACACTTCTCCTCTTGGCAATCTGTTCCAGTGCCTCACAACCCTCACAGTAAAGAATGGCTTCCTAATATCCAACCAACCCTGCTCTCTCTCAGCTTGAAGCCTTTGTCTTACCACTGTATGGCATGGCAAAAGGCTCCTCTGTGGACTTCTTGTAGGGTTCCTTCAGGTACCAGAAGGTCACAATAGGTCACCCTGGAGCCTGATCTTCCAGCTGAACAATCCTAATAACCCCAATTCCCTCAGACTTTCTTCATAGGACAGGTGGTCCATCCCTCTAATCATATTCATGGCCTCCTCTAGACTTGCTCCAACAGGTCAGTGTCCTTCCCGTGCTGGATGCAGTGTTCAAGGTGGGGTCTCACCAGAGCAGAGCAGAGGGGCAGAATCCCCTCCCTCGCCCTGCTGGCCCCGCTGCTTTGGATGCAGCCCAGGACACAATTGGCTGTCTGGGCTGTGAGTGCACTTTGCTGGGCCATGTCCAGCCTCTCACCCACCAGCACCCCCAAGACCCTCTCAGCAGGGCTGCTCTCCATTTGCTCATCCCCCAGCCTGTGCTGATACCAGGGGCTGACCTGAGCCAGGTGCAGCACCATGAACTTGTAAAAGAAAAAAATATTTTAAAGTAATCATTAACAGATATAAGTAAGGAATAATAATAATTATAATCACGACAATGATAATGATGATGATAACTGCAGTATCTGCATGGTGTCAGAAACATGGCAGATATACTAAGGACGATTAAGCATTCACGTAATGCTATACTCAATATTAATTTCATAGTTTTTCCTGAGAGTCATCCCCACATTTTTCTAGGACACACCTCAGCACATAATGTGCATCTATTAAGAATTACATCCACGTATTGAAAACTAACTTCCTCCATACTGGCTAGGCTCTCCAAAAGATGGTGATTCCCAAAGTTGTCTAATATAAGCAGTCATACTCCTGCATATTACTCTCCTAGCCAACCATCAGAGGAAAAGCATATGCAAATGTACATTATGTTCTCTGCTTATAAATTACCTCTGTCAAAAGAAAAAACTGCCTGTGGTATATTTTTTAATGTTTGAGAGAAAAAAATTTGAAAGTAATGCATAATAAAACAAAAAAATGCCTTTTAGTGAAATAAAGATACGTTTGAAAGATATATTTGAAAAACAGCTTCAAAATACCTGCAAATTCCCAGAAACACCCTCATTTCATAGCATCCACTAAATTTAAGATGTGCATAACATTAAGTGATTAGGCCATGGTCTAACTACAGTTTTTATCAACACTCAGGAAATCTTACTTATAATAATGATTTTTATCTCTTTTATCTTGTACTTTTAAGTGACCAAAACATTCATCCTCAATGTTTGGTAGAAACACATTTACATGGTTACTTACAAATAAATCCTGTCGTTACACACATATTAGTAATCTTGTCAGAGCTGGAAAAATTTACTAATCTGCATAAAAAGTACTTGTAGAATTCTGAATTATATTTATTTATTTGTATTAAATATACACACACAAATGTAACCTTCCACAATTAAAAAAAATTTAAAAAAAAAAAGTCTGAATTATGCACTGAAAAATTGAAGGATGATAAAGGGAGCTAAGTTACTTTTAAGTTTGTCTCACTTAACTACTCGGACAAACCAAGGCAGACAAGTTGACTTAGATGTTTATTATTCTAGAATAGTTTCTTAAGTAAAGCAAGAACATATGGGGAGTATATCATGCACAATTCTGGCGGCTTCTTATCAAGAATCATCTAATCATTTTATCAAGAAGTATTTAAGTGCAAAATCACACCAATGTTTACCAGACAGTACTTTCTAAAAACACCAAAAGACTCTTCGAAATCCCATATCTGCACCTGTTTCATCTCTAAATACCACTTTAATCTTTTTCTGCACTTCTTAAACTAGTAGATCTCACCTGCACAGCCCTGCTTTAAAGATAGCAGGGAAAGTGTTTCCAATTTATCAGCCAGCTATCAGTTTCCAACTTCTACTCTACGCAAACGACTTCAACTGAGGCCATATTTGTTCTGCCTGTTCCATGTGCGCTAAAAATTCCAACTGATGAGGACCAAAAGCTGTCTTACATACTTTAAACTGAACTAAAACCAGCTGGGAAGCCTAAGCATAACGAGTCATTCTAGTGTAAAATCCAGATTTTACAAATATTTGTATCACATTCCAGCAAGTGACACTGCAACACTGGAGTCAAGACTAAGAAGATATTTCTCCTAGTTCCATCTGTAACTCAAAGAGCAAAAGCACCAAGCTCATTTAAATTTGCGATGGGATCACTAACACGACTTGGCTAAATGGACATCCTGAAATGCCAACAGCTGTAATACACGTCAGCCCCAGTGACAATCAAATAGAAACTCAAATAATGTAAAAGATACACACTTAATAAAGAACACTACTGCACTGACAGTCACCTTTACTCACGGAAAACCAATACTAAAAACTTCATAAGCTGCAATATGTGCAGAATACACGGGTATTTTACAATCACATTCTTTCAAGAATCTCACACTTTTTCCTACTGAAGTTCAGCTTAAATTTGGAAGCTGGAAAGTCTTGAGTTAAAACTTCAATAACCAGCCTTTTCAGATACACTACCATTTTAGTTTATGCTTAACGACTTCCAAAACCCGAGCTATACAAAGCCCATGAAAGTGATATGAAGCAGAACAATTTGCTACTTTGCCTGTGGGAAAAGACTTGTCCACAGCTACACGTATGCCTGTATGTCAGGCAGTTACTGTCAGTTTTCCTTCCTCCTCAGTATCCTCAGCTGTAAAAGCCCCTGGAAAATATATCCTTCTCCAAGCAGCATGGAAACACTAGGCACGTGGAAGAGCCCAACCACAGCATGAGAAAGCGTCTGTGTGCTGTAAAAGGTAGTCAGAGGGACAGGGTCTGACCCCAGGTGGAGTCAGGAAGTATCGGAAAATTATGATGAGGCCACAGCACTGGGGTCCCTCTTGGGAAAGTCTACACTGTGAAATGGTAGAAAAGGGAATGGTAGGTTGGAGAACAGCAAGAAAGACCACAGCAGTGTATACAGAGTTAGTGTCCTCATTCATCAGGGGTATTACATGCCATAAGCAGATAAAGATAGATGAACTTGGCATACAAGGTGAGGAGGAGAGTGTGCAGGAGCACTACAGGGAGAAAGCAGAGATATTTCTTCTGCAGAAACGTCTTCTCTTTGTGCTGCTGAAGGAGGCATATGAAGTTTATGTCTCCTTCTGGTTTACTTCTAGACCCTTGTTCTTATCCTTCTCTAACAAACAGTATTTGTTTCTATGTCCTTCTGAAAGTTAATGCCAAAGAAAATTCCTTCTGCCAAAGAGAACTCATGAATCAAAAATACATTGATTGAATCCTTTCTTATGACAGCCACAGTTGATTTAACATTTCAAATACTATTTCTGTGTTTTGGGGCATTAGGTTAGATATTCAGTGCAACATACCTTCATAACATTACAAAAGCAATGATTCCTAGCTGATACAACAGCTGGAACACACTGCCTAATTCTACTTGTGTAATAGCAGAAATATAAACTGCACACTATCTAAGATCATGATATCTATAAGATCATGGATATTTTCCACCACTTCTTGGTAAAGCATAAAATAAACAAGGAAAAACACTCCTCCAACATTTCACAAACCCTTCTTTGCTCCTGCCTTGCCTCTTCCTCTACTTAAAATAATCCTGAAAAAGTCAAAATAGATGTTTAAAACTAATTCCACAGTTGGTTGGAAAAACACCACTACAGTATACTTTGAAGGAACTCGAAAGAGCTGGGAACAGAACTACAACTAAGACAGATAATGGCTTCTGGATCAGACTACATCGTCTTTACAATCAACTCTTAATAAAGACAAAAAAATCTACCCTCAGATGAAAGCAAAACCTCAGCTTTCCCTTCAAAAAAAAGGAATAATCTTCTAGGCCTCATGCTAAATTTGGAAGTTTTAGTTACCTCTCTGTACATGTACACAAAGCTATATGCAGGCATACTCAACTCAGGCACGTGCCTGAATTTGCAGCAGGTCTGAAACAGCCGAGTTAACAAGCTGAAAGACGTAAACTGCACGGTGGTAGTTCCAAGATACACTCTCCATATAAAGACATACATGCGCTGCAGATGAACAAAACTCTACACTATTACCCCCTCCATAAATGCAGGTATAACGTCATGGCTGCAGAAATAAATCCTCGGGAATGGAGTTTGCACTTACTTCTTCCCCACCACTCCCAGCCCCACTGCACCGAAATGGGTGGAAGGAAGTGGCAAACAGCATAGGAGGTGAAACACCTCCAAAGGAAGAACACCTCCAAAATCTGGAGAGCAACAAACCAGTAGAGGAAGTACCACGTGTCCGTGCTGTGATGCATTGGCTCCAGACCACGATGGAGCACAGATATTCTTTCTCTGTTTAACCAAGTGGCGTTAAAACAAAACTCTTGGTATAGTTGAGCAGACTAAGGTCAGCAGCAGTTGACAACTATAAAAGCAAGGAGGAGGGCAGGGTTATTAGGAGAATGGTGTGAGATGAGAGAATGCAAAAGCCACACTTCTGGTACAGAAAACATGGATACAAATTCTATGTCCTTGTATGCCTCTGACCAGAAGCACAAAACTGGTGTGAAAAACAGCAGAACTCTGGCAGTTTGCCGCTAAAACTCATTTTGTTCCAATTGAAGTAGCCAACAGACGACAATTCAGAAAGGTGCACCTCACACATACACAGTACGTGCACTGTAGTACTCCGAAAAAGAGGAGACACACCTGAAGAACACAATGCCATCCAGAGGGACCCAGGTAGGCTCAGGAAGCAGTCACATGGGAATCTCAGGTGGTTTAACAAGACCAAGAGCATGGTGCTGCACCTGGGTCAGTGCAATCCCCAGTGTCAACACAAGCTGGGGGATGAACAGATAAGAGCAGCCCTGCTGAGAGGGACTTGGGGTGCTGGTGGGTGAGAGGCTGGACATGGCCCAGCAAAGTGCACTCACAGCCCAGACAGCCAATTGTGTCCTGGGCTGCATCCAAAGCAGCGGGGCCAGCAGGGCGAGGGAGGGGATTCTGCCCCTCTGCTCTGCGCTGGTGAGACCCCACCTTGAGCACTGCATCCAGCTCTGGGGTGCTCAGCACTGGAAGAACATCAACCTGTTGAAGAGAATCTGAAGGAGGGATGCCAAGGTGATTAGAGGGATGGACCATTTGTCCTATGAGGACAGGCTGAGAGAACTGGGATTGTTCAGCCTAGAAGAGGGAAGGCTTTGAGATGACCTAATTGCAGCTTTCTAGTACTGCAGGGACCTTACAAGGAAGACGAGGTAAGTCCCAAGGGCATGTCCTAACAGGACATGAGGGAATGGGTTCAAATATAAAGAGTGTACATTTAGATTAGATATTTAGGGGGAAACTCTTTACTGTGAGGATGGTGCGGCACTGGAACAGGTTTCCCAGGGAAGCTGCGGATGTCCCATTTTTGGAGGTGTCCAAGGCCAGGTTGGACGGGGCTCTGAGCATCCCGGTCCGGTGAAAGGTGTCCCTGCCCAGGGCACGGGGTCGGAACGAAACGATCTCCAAGGTCCCCGCGTTCAGCGACTCCAAGAAGAGCCAGTGGAGCCCGAGCCGCCCCATCTCCGCCGCTGCCAAGCCGGCATCTCCCGGCATCCCGCGGCGCATCCCCCGCGGCCCGGGCACAGCCGGAGGAGGAGCCGCCGCTCCCCCCGCCTCCCGCGACTCCCGCAGGGCCGCCCCGTTCCCTGCCCCGCAAGGGTCACCCCGGCCGGGGCCGGGGCGAGGTGGGGCAGCGCCGCCTTCCCCCCCTTCACCCCGCTCCGTTACCTTTGTGCTCATCATCCAGGTAGCGGACGCGCAGCTCCTCCTCTTCCTTCGCCTGCGAGCCGTAGCTCCTCCCGGCCGCGGGGCGAGCGGCGGCGGCGGCGGCGCCTCCTCCTCCCGCCCGCAGGTCCGGAGCGCGGTGCGCGGCGCGGGCGAGGCCGGCGGGGGTGGCGGGAGCCGCGGGCGGGAGCCCGAGGCGGGCGCGCAGGAGGCCGAGCCCGCGCAGCGCGGCCGCCATCGCTGCTGCCGCCTCAGCCTGCGCCGGCCCCGGCCCCGGCCCCGCCGCCCACGTGACCGGCTGCGGCACGCACGGGGCGCCGCCGCCCCCCCCCTCCCCTCACGGAGCGGGGCCGGGGCCGCTCGGAGCCTTTGCCGGGGACATCGCTCGGCGGGTTTGCGGGGGCACGCTCGGAGGAATGGGATTAAATACAGAGCGACCTTGAGACACGCACACACACACACACACACACACGAGAGATGGTGGAGCTCGTGAAGTTCCAGCAAAGCGCGGCGCGAGGTGCAGCACCTGGGACGGGGCAGTCCCAGGCGCAGCTGCGGGCTGAGAGCAGCCCTGTGGAGAAGGGTTTGGGGGTGGTGGTGGGTGAAGAGCTCGACACGAGCTGGCAGTGAGCGCTCAGAGCACAGAAAGCCGAAGGCAGCCTGGGCTGCGCCCAAAGCAGCGCGGCCAGCAGGGCGAGGGAGGGGGCTCTGGCCCTCTGTGCTGCTCTTGTCAGGCCCCCCGGGAGCACCTGGGCAGTTTTGTTGCCCCTGATGCCTCACAGCTTTTTTTTTTTTTTGATTTTTTTAGCTTTTTGTAGATTTTTGGAAGTAGTTGTGTAGTAAATTTTCATGTGGTTGTATAATGCCTTTAGCGCAGTAGTTAGCACACGCTAAACCCTTTCTCCCCATTTCATGTCGAATTTTCTAAATTCTTTTAGCTTGCTTAAAGTCCTGTTCAAGGTAGAACTGTGAAAAACACCTCTATTTAAGAACATTTTAACCTTGGCCCAAACAAGAAGATATCTCAAATAGACAAAGCAACCTTCAAGCCCAGAACTTTGGAGGAGCTCCAAGGACTATATGTGCCACGAAGAAGACAAATACGAGGAAAAAGGAGTCTCAAGGACCACTGACTCAATTTCCAGATGGGGGTGGGGGGCAGAACTGGGGACGATCTGGGGGGATGGATAGATCTGGGTTTGAATGGACCATACCATAAAGTTGTAGAACCACTGTCTGGGTGCAATGCCTGTCTGTGTATTCCCCTGGGCATGAGGACTGTAATTAAAAGACCTGCTCTTCTTATCTAATACTAAAGTGGCTTGGAGGTTTTTTTCTCCACATCTTTTAAGGCATCACCCCCAACACAGGAAGGACATGGAACTGTTTGAGCAAGGCCAGAAGAGGCCACAAAGTTGCTAAGAGGACTGGAGCACCATCCCCTATAAAGAGACTGAGAAAGTTGGGGCTGTTCAGCCTGGAGAAGAGAAGGTTGTGTGGACACCTCATGGCAACCTTCCAGTGTCTGAAGGGAGCCTACAGAGAGGGATCCTTGGTCAGGAACTGCAGTGATAGGACAAAGAGTAATGGGTACAAACTGAAAGACTGTATATTTAGGTTAGATATTAAGAAGAAATTCTTTCTTGTGGCAGTGGTTGAGACACTGGAACAGATTGCCCAGAGAAGTTGTGGGTGCACCAGCCCTGGCAGCGTTCAAAGCCAGGCTGGGTAAGGTCTTGAGCAGCCTGGTCTAGTGGGATGTGTCCCTGCCTGTGGCACAGAGGGTCGGGACTGGATGATCTCCAAAGGCTCATTCCAGCCCCTTAACATTCTACAATTCAGTGATTTTCACACCTTGAATTACGCAGGTGCCTGGACAAATTTCTCATGGGTAAAAGCGGATGTTTAGTTTCATCAGCAGTTTGTGATACTGGTGGAAGTTTGGTGGCATGTTTATCTGCAGTGAGCTCAACAAAATTCCCACCTTAAAGGCAACGTGCTCAGGCTCTGTTTCACTGGGTGAGGTGGCACCAGAACGAACTCTGCAGCGACAAAAGGCTGTTTGGATTGGCCGCCCTCCTCTTTTGGGGCACTCAGAGTTACCATTGTGTTGCCAAAGTAAGGATGAAGTTGATATGACTCGGTGTTTAGAGCTGGATTTAGCAGCGTAAGCAGCAGCACCGTGGTGTCTGCTTGCCCTGCATGCGCACTAACGGGTGCTCCAGCGTGGAGCAAGTCAAATAATATAAGAATTAACAGTGGAGGTAACAGGTAATTGCTGTCTTTAGTTGTAAATTCACATGTTACAAGACTGTTATGACCAGTTTCAAAACGAGGGTTGAAATTTCACCAATCAGTACAATGACATTTTTTGGGCCAGGGTATAGGTAGGTGTGTTAGATATAAAAGTAGTTGACTCCTTACATAGGACCTGGCCAAGGTTGTTACAGCTGCAATTAGTCCAGTACAGTCATGAGGCTCTGAAAAAGCTGTGAATTTGTCCTCTTCAAGTTTATTTCCTTCAAAGAATTAGGCATTGAGAATTGAAAACGTGCCTTTGAGCCACCCCCTGTCATTTTCAAAATTCAGTGCACTGAACAGGAGGAGTAAAGCTGTACTGCTCCTGAGCAGGGGCTCAGATGGAGCCATTTTGGTTGTTATTTCAGAAAACTAGCTACTGCATTCCTTCATGCTGTTGCTCAGCAGCTCCTCCATGGCCTCCTTCTGGAGAAATGAAATCTAAAAATAATGTCCTGTTTGTTCTTGTGGAGCACCATGAAGGGCAAATGTGTGTGTGGGGGGGGGAAGGAACAGGCACAGTATCGCCTTGCATTTATTATGTTTTACTATTTGACCAGGGCTATAGCTTGTGATTCACAGCCCATTCCAGTAGTGCCCACAGTATGCTGGAGAGTTTTCCAGTGGAAAGAAATAAAGGGTGCCTGTCCTGGAAATTCTGTTCACAGTTGAAGAACATTTTATTTTATAAAAAGCAGTTTCGAAACATCGTATCCAATTACGTCAGTAGAAACAGCACTATTCTAAAAGGCATAGGACAAGACAAAAGGGCGTTAAAAGCAGAACTAGATTCGCTACAGCACCATAAAGTTGTCTTTAGGCAGACATTTGCAATGGTTCCCAGAGTCAAGGACTAGTGAACCCTTTCCTGAGCAGAGGTCAGTAAATGGAATCAAGCCCAACAGCCTCATATCTGTTCTGACAGCACTCAGAATCATTTTTAAAACTGAAAGAATTTCAGAAATGCAAGTTTCTTTTAAATGCCGCTGTTTGATTTTACTTTCTTTGTGTAATAATTTAAAATAAAATTATTTTCTATTTCCCTCCCCCGTTAATGTGTAAAACTGTGTGATATGCATAGAAGAGTGTTTCATTTTGGTCATTTAATACTACACTGCATTATGTAATACTGTATATTCAGTTCCTCCCATTCCACTGACATTCAAACATGGTTCAGGACTTGGCTGAAAGCAAAGTTTCCCATATTCTTTTATTTATTGCTTTTTTCACTGTAATTTGATTCTAACAACACAGCTTTGGAGTCAAAGTAATACATGGAGTCAAAGTAATACAAAGGGAAAGTATATTAATATACATGTTATTATGTAAACACATATCCTAATTGAAAAAAAACTGGAGTAACTGGAAGAAAATTGTTAAGTAACTATCTAAATAGTATATGACATTGTTTGGTGGCCTGATTGCTGCTGCACACAAAAATCCAAATGTTGATTCTTGGTGATGGGTAACATAAATTGATTTAGCACCACTGCATAAATCTTGACTCAGCCTCCCTCATGCCCAGAGAAGCAATGTTAGCATGAATGTGAAAGTAGAACCAGTGTAGATGAAGAATAGGTCACCAAGTTCTCTGCACTCAGCTCTAACTTTTAATATGGCCACTCAATCATAATCTAATCTAAGGCAAAAGACTTGAAGGTCCTTCACCCTAATTAATTCTGCACTTGGAGTAGCCTTGGAAAGCCCATTTGCACCAGGTTGCAGGTTCTCACAGTGTACAGGACTGAAACTGAAAGGGGGAATATGCAGCATGTTTTTTAGCTTGCCTTATGGCTTTTGTTTGTAAGTACAGAATCATAGAATCACAGAACGTGCTGAGCTGGAACAGACCCATCAGGATCACTGAAGTCCCACTCCTGGCCCTGAAAGGTTTGAGGCTTGGGGTGAGGACAGAACCATTGCAACTTAGGCAGCGCAGTGCAGAGGTGCAGAAATTGGGACAGTGCCTGCATGGTTAGCAGAGAGAGGTTTCATCATAACATTATTCTGTGTGCTTCAGTGCAGGGTACCTGCCTTGACTCGTTTTCTAGAGGAATGATCTCAAATTAGGTATAACAGAGGCGTGTGACCTCTAAACTTTAGATCTAAATTAAGTACCTAAAACCAGAGAGTGTGAAACTACTTGTGGATGTTCAGTTAGGGATCTAGTGTTGTTAAAAAGGCTAATAAATATTTTAAATTAAACAAAAATCATAGAGTTAACTGGGTTGAAAGAGACCTCCGAGATCATCAAGTCCAACCCTTGATCCAACCCCACTGTGGTTACCAGATCATGGGACTCAGTGCCACATCCAGCCTCGTCTTAAAAACTTCCAGGGACAGTGAATCCACCACCTCTCTGGGCAGGCCATTCCAATGTGTATTCATACTAATATGCAGTTTTACAGCTCACAGTGAAAAGGTGCAGACAGTCTGTACAGTGAAGCAGGAATACTTGCAAGAAGGAGTCTTAGCTAGTTCTATGTTGCTTTAATTTTCTTACACTGATGCATGAAGATGAGGTGTAATAAGTAGTTTCATTTTCTCTGGATGAGCATATCAGTGTCAATGCATAGAGTGAAAAGGGAACAAGTTTTAGGGGAAAAAATGGAGCACCCAATTTTGGCTTTTCAAACTAAATGCTTTGTCTTTCTTGCAAATTGAGAAGTAATTGTCTCTGTAAAGGGACTATGATATTTAAGAGTGAAATCTGCTAGCTACTCACTCTCTAAGTTGGTTTATAAAGGTTGTTTCAATTTCACACCACCCACCAGGAGCATTTGTCTCTGCTAGTTTTCATATATTTGCTTTTCATTAATGGCAGGATTTTACTGATTATTGTATTATGCAGTTAGCATGCTTGCCTTTCCAGTCTGGGTTTTTAACCATTTTTAAAGTCTTCTCGATCTTTTAACACTAAGCCAGCTGAAGAAATGTCCCTCGTTTTTATGTATTTATTAGTAGTAAACATGTGGCGCCCACAGCATGTTCCCTTTTTGGCACCGCGCCTATTCAATATGTTTTGCAGGCAGCTGTTTCCTTAGATTGTCTGTTTTCTTTCTTCTCAGTGCAGCTTTGAGATTGCAATGCCAAGACATATGATGCTTTTGCAGCTTGCTTTTTCTCTTCAGTAATCACTCTCCTTAAACTCAGCCTTTTGGGGTACTCTTACAAGTTTGCTGACGTGGCACTTGTTACCTGGCCCCAGGACCTGTTGAAAACTGCACCTGTGTGTCACTCGTGTCTTGTAGCACAGGGCTACAACAGATTTTGGCTCTGTGTTCATGTCAGCCCCGTTTATCTGTGCCTATGCTCCTGCATCGTGAAAATGGAGACAAGTGCATTGGACTGATACAGCGCCTGGCATATGTGAGCCAATTGCAGGAGAGTGGGACTGTCTGCCCGTCCTCTTCAGGTCACTAACAAGGCAGAATGCTGGAACAATTACAGAAACATAAACATGCTGAGCAATGCCTCGTGTGTGGGTAAATCAGCGCAGAGCTACCACTGTGTAATATTGGAAAGTTAGAGCCTAGGTATCTTAGGTACTTGTGACTACAAGTGGGCAGATATTCAGTGAAGGAAATGTGTAGAATGCTTCATTTTGAGGCAGGGCACACAGTTTATCCCAAAAGGGCATGAAATAAGGGTATTTATTTCTATGGGGTTAGATGTAAGGAAAGATACTGAAAACAGAGAATTGACAAACAGTGAGGATGCTTGAAAATTGAATCTACCTAATTACAGCTCCCAGGTATTTTCATGCTGTTATGTCTCCTCTTGCTAAAGCTTTTAAAAAGCTTTCTTATATTTCTAAAGTAGTTCAACACATCAGACATTCACCCAGCCAGATAAATAACTACGCATTCACTCAAATTGCACACCAACTGCAACATCACTGAATGCTTTTCTTACAGAGAATGCACCTTGCTCAGCTATTTATACAGATTGTCAAAGTCACACATTTTCTTCCTGATCAGGCTTCTGGACAAAGCTTCGTCTGAAGCAATACCCCCCTTCCATATCTGTATCCTTTTGAAGAACTCCAAAGCCAATATCAATGTTAACTTGTCTGAAGTATCTTTGCTTTGGAAACAGGGGAGGGCAAGCTCTCCTGTAGGATAGAAGGGTCGGTGAAGGCTGCAAAGAAGCACAGAAAGCAGGCAGAACACTACTAATGCAGTTGGCATTTGATGAAGATAGTTGACATGAAATTCTAGTAGAAAATGGATTTCCCAGTTTTGTCAGGGTGCCTTTATGTGTGGTTAAAGGCTGCTGCAGAGGGGCTGCTGCTAAGAAGGCAGCAAAAAATTCCAGTCAAATCCATGCTATCTAGAAGAATGAAATAAACTAGGTATTAGCCCATAGAAGGAAGCATCAAGGAACAAAGAATTACTATCATCATAAAAACAGTATCTACGTGAAGAGTGGGGGTTTCCAACTAAACAAGCATTTGGTGAAATAAAGGGGAAATTCATCTGAATAACATTTTGTTTAAAAGTTTTTTGATTAAATTAATAAAGGACATGTCAGTAGAACTCTCAGTGAAACAAATCAGAAATTTCTGTCACCGTTACAATCAGGAGATGAAAAAATTTTTAATGCTTCTGTCCACATGCAGTGTGTTTTCTAGTAAGAAGAACTTACCAAGAAACTCTGCTTTATTTGAACACAATATACTTGTCATGAACCCCATGTCCATGGGAGGAGCTAATAGAAGTCTGATACTTTATGCTCAAGTAATAAAATGCAATAGAAAAATCCACAGCACTTCATAGCCTGTTTTTGTCAGTTGAAACTCCATTACT